TAATCAATTAGTGATCAGCTGAACATAGTTTCATAAAGTCGCTTCTATCACAAGTATGATGGTCATTAGTGAGGTCGATTCCCTATACGGGTATTAATATGATAGTTTTCCTAGTTATTTCCTCCGTTATTTCCGTGTAACATTGTGTATTTTATTGCATTCAGATATTTTAATGCACTTTGGTTTAAGGATAAACCTTGTTCTTTCATGGTTTTCTACCAAATTTTCTATCAGAATTTTCTCAGAAAGAAGAGATCGTGTTAATATTTATCATTACCCATTATTTCAGCGAAGATATTTTTTTATTTATTGCTTAGATGTGTGGACGAGCTCACAGCCCACCTGGTGTTAAGTGGTTACTGGAGCCCATAGACATTTAAATCGTAAATGCGCCACCCACCTTGAGATATAAGTTCTAAGGTCTCAGTATAGTTACAACGGCTGCCCCACCCTTCAAACTGAAACGCATTACTACTTCACGGCAGAGATAGGCGGGGTGGTGGTACCTACCCGTACGGACTTACAAGACGTCCTACCACCAGTATTTATATTTTTTTAATGTCTTATTTTGGTGTACTACTAATCCAGAGAAAATAATTGAAGAAAGTAATTTATTTAATATAAGTAAATTCTTTAACCAGTTTCATTAATTCGTGATAAAATTTTATATACTTATTTACTTATTAATAGTATAACACCTATCTCAGAATCGAATCACGGCTTTGTTTCTTTATTACAACTATACCATAGGGATTTTTTTAAATATTTTGTAGACAGAAAGGTCTAAGCAGAATTTCTGTACGATAAAGCCAGTAAGCCAAAACGCACATAATAAATTACTAGTGGGTCGCAGTCCTACCCACACGCGCTCGTGAACTTAATACTTTTGGGACACTTCATAATAATATCATAACTCGATGCCCAAATATTTTGTCAAGCGTTTCCCTCTTATGTACGTTCGTATTTAGAGGGCTAGTTAGAGCTGCCAGCGAAACGATCTTTTTCAGATCAATCTTTCCACATCTTTGATGAATATAATGAAATTTTTTAATTTGCCTTGTTTTGTTATTATATTTATTTTATTTTATTACATTACTAGCGACCCGCCCTCGCTTCGCTTGGGAAACTGTAATTATTGATATCTCCACAATTTTAATGGGTGTTATTAAACATATAAACCTTCCTCTTCAATCACTATATCTATTAAAAAAAACATCAAAATCAACTAACTCATAACAAAATTAATCAAAAAACTCAAAACAAAATTTGTTTTTTTTGTTTAACTGTTAATAATTTTGGAGCTATGTTGTTATTCTATTCTCTAAATGGATACATTTATTGAATTTTTGGAACGAAGTTCCTTATGGGACGATGAGGAGGGGTACCCTAACCGGGAAAAAGTCCGTAACGTAAGATTTTTATTATTTATAATATGTATAGTCTTAGTATGATGGCTATACAGTGTCTAATGTATAGTCTACGTGATGACGGTTATTATTATTATTCATATAAATAGCCGTTTCTTTGTATATTATTATTATATATTTTTATAAATCATTGTGAACAAAATAAAGTTGATAAGTTTGTAAAGTAGTTTTTTTTTTGTTTTTATCAATAAAAAAATCATAATAAAAATGTATACCCGAATAATTATTTTCTTTATACCTCGAATAGAACTTAAAATTAATATTTTTATAATAAGGAACTTTGTTCCTATCCGGTGTCCCACGACACCACACATCTTTTTTTTTTTGATTGACTGTAATCATCATTGTGTGTGTGTTTTTTTTTAAATTGAGATCATGTTCGTAATGTGTGGACGAACTTACCTATTTTTAAGTTGTTGCTGTAACGCATCTTGAGACATGAGGTCGAATCTCAATTTTATTATATTTATATTCAATTTTATTGTATACCGACTGTCTTACCGGCAAATATTTTATTGTTAAGACTCAATAATGTACTTTAAATTAAAATAATATAATTTGCTTATACTTTAAATAGCATCTGACTCTTTTAACGCAATTAATATAAGATTTGGGAGAAGGTACCCGAGGGTCGCCTTGTCCTTAATCCTTTGACATGTAAAATGTTCAGCTTTGAATGCTGACTTAGATTAATCCTGTTCAGAGCGGTCCTACAAAATTTACTGTTCTAGTTTTTTGAATAAAATCAAATTGAAACTCCTCGCAGCTTTGTCAACTTTCTTGGTTGTATCTTATGGTCAGGTGTCGACAATAATAGTGATAACTATAGCTCAAATCTTAGCCAGTTTACTTAACAGTGAAATTTTAAAATTATCTCAGCGACAATTACTGGAAAGTTGAATGAACCCTAACTAGAATGACTGAGACGTAGCAATTCAATGGTTAGTTTATCTCCCGGGTCTAATAGGCAGTAAATTCTCTCGTACATATGTATATGTGAAAAATAAAATTAGTTTCCTGTACCTCCTTGTAAATATCTTACGACTTCATTTGGTATCATAATGAGACCAACTCCATACGTTTTCTACCCTGGCTAATTCTGCCTGAAATAGTCATAGCACAGCCTTTTTTTTATTGCTTAGATGGGTGGACGAGCTCACAGCCCACCTGGTGTTAAGTGGTTACTGGAGCCCATAGACATCCACAACGTAAATGCGCCACCCACCTTGAGATATAAGTTCTAAGGTCTCGAGTATAGTTAAAACGGATGCCCCGCCCTTCAGACCGAAACGCATAACTGCTTCACGGCAGAAATAGGCAGGGTGGTGATACCCACCCGCGTGGACTCACAAGAGGTCCTACAACCCTCGAATCTATCCAGAAATACATGAAGTCAGCGTCGGAACGGTACTTCGATAAGGCTATGCGTCATGATAATCGCCTTATCGTAGCCTCCGCTGACTACTCCCCGAATCCTGATCACGCAGGAGCCAGTCACCGTCGACGCCCTAGACACGTCCTTACGGATCCATCAGATCCAATAACCTTTGCATTAGACGCCTTCAGCTCTAACACTAGGAGCAGGCTTAGGGACCTCGGTAACCGTACTCGTCGAACTCGACAAAGAGTTCGCCGTGCAACCTAGCCCATGAATCAGCTCGCTGAGTTTCTCGCCGGATCTTCTCAGCGGGTCGCGATTCCGATCCGGTAGTAGATTCATTCGCGAAGCAGCTGCTCTTGAGCTGTTAGGTCTCCTTCGGAGGCGCTCGGGTAGCTGTTAGCAAATCCCACCCCTCCTGGCTGAGCCTTTGCTCGCCCACCTGTCCTGGTGAAACTGGAAAGGCCTCCGGGCCACTAGTAATCCTTCAATCATAAAAAAAGAAAAAGGTCCTACAACCAGTAATTACGCAAATTATAATTTTTCGGGTTTGATCTTTATTACACGCTGTTATTCCTTCACCGTGGAAGTCAATCGCTAACAATTATAAAATACGTATTTCATTTTAAAAAAAAGGTACCCGCCTGAGATTCGAACACCGGTGCATCACTCAACACGAATGCACCGGAAGTCTTATCCGTTAGGCCACGATGACTTCATAAATATAGGTAGTTATATTGTTTAAGTACAAGATTAATTTTCGCCTAAAAATCATTAATAATAATTCCTCGGTAAAGATGCCTAGCTTTCTCTTAGCTCCGCTTAATCCGTCATATACCTATATTATTTTTGCCAGGATATTACATTATTTTACTACTTATTTGCTAAGTTTGTTCGTCTTATATCATTTTTCTGGTGACAGGGCGCCCTGTGAACTCACACGGCTGGGTAAGTGTTTCAGTCGCGAAGTATTACAAGCTGTAATTGAACTTCATTTACAATACGTTTAAATAAATACTTAGTCTACCATAAATACTGTTACAATTCAAAATAAACAAAATATTACATTTGAATTTGGAATCTGTCATTTTTGTATTTTTGTGGTAAAATCGAAGCAGCTACTGAAGCGGTACGCAAAGGGAGGTCATAGAAAAATTTTGTTTACGAATGTGAATTTTTTTACAATTGAGCAACATTTTAACAAACAAAATGACCATATTTATGCTCAAAGCTCTAAGGAAGCTTCCCAATTAGTCGACAGAGTGCAACGTGGGCACTATCCGACTTCAGTGATGGTTTGGTGGGGTATTAGCTATGAAGGAGTGACTGAGCCATACTTTTGTGAAAAAGGTATCAAAACATCGGCACAAATGTATCAAGATACCATTCTTGAGAAGGTAGTGAAGCCCCTTAACAACACCATATTCAATAATCAAGAATGGTCCCCCCAGCAAGACTCGGCGCCAGGTCATAAAGCTCGGTCTACGCAGTCTTGGTTGGAAACGCACGTTTCGGACTACATCAGAGCTGAAGACTGGCCGTCGTCTAGTCCCGATCTTAATCCGCTGAATTATGATTTAAGGTTAGTTTTAGAGAGTACGGCTTGCTCTAAACGCCATGACAATTTGGAGTCCCTAAAACAATTCGTACGATTGGCAGTGAAAAATTTTCCCATAGAAAGAGTGCGTGCTTCTATTGATAACTGGCCTCAACGTTTAAAGGACTGTATTGCAGCCAATGGCAACTTCGAATAAGCTTTTTATACTTTAAATTGTTTTATATTTATGTATTAAACTAACACACTGTAAAAGTAATAAATGTTATTTGCAATAGAATTTTTTTTCCTTTGTCTCAGTATTTATGGCAAGACTAGGTATATTACAGAATTATTCTTTTTTGCTTTTTAGTTAGTGTATTTAACACCTCTCTTTATTTTAATGAATTCTTTTACTTAATCCGGCTCAAACCGGAGAGTTGCTAACACTGACCCTAGCAAGAGCAATGCTTCGCAGAATCTACCACCGGATCGGAAACGCGACCCACTGAGAAGATCCGACGAGAAACTCAGTGGGCTGTGTCCGTGGATTGCTCAGTGGGTTGTTCGTCCTACCATTTACTTAATTTATAACTGGACAATGAACGAAAGAAAATGAAAAAAAATGTGTATATAACATTCACTTATTTTATTACGAGCAGTACCTATTTACATAAAAATTATACTTTACAATCTCTATTCATAAGGTGGTTACATAGTTAAAACTCTACGATACACTCCAAAATGGCACTTAACGATTAAAACAGAAAATTCTTTATTCTTTGGACTTTAAAAACCAAAAACGTAAGGACAAAATCCATACAAAAAGTAGAAAATTCAACTATTGTTTTTTATACGTTTTGCTAGATGTGACAAAATCCAAAAAATATACTCTACAACTAATTTAGTTTTAATAATATCTTAAATATATAAATTTAATAGTCTTGGAATTCGTCCGTGGACATCAGCATGACTAATGAATTCTTTAGATTAAAACAAACGATTCAATCTGGCACTAAGAATCTAAATTACAATTAAACATTGCCTTATCGTTTTTCCTTTCACGACGGGCTTGCTTCACCGACTTTACTATTTGTTACTGGGTCACAATTGTGTGTTTGGATAATAAGGATATAATCATAAGAGCTGGCCTCTCGTTTGGCCATTGTTCAAGCTTCAAATTTTGTGGCCATCGCCTATTGCGTACGGACAATAAAAGTGGTTTTAATTGTACAAAGTATTTGTTTTCTTACTGATATTGTTCTCTCAAAGAACATCATTGTTATTTATTTATATTTCATTTTTAAAATTACGTTTCGAATTCAAACTTTTAGGCTAAACAATCTTTAAATACAAATTTTAGACGCACGTTTTGAATCCGAATTTTAAACAAAGTTATTTTACTTCCTTAGAAGTTTCACAGTCAAATTTGTATCCTTCTTATTGACACAACTCTAATTACTTTAAGCCATTTTCAGACTCTATATTTATTTCTGACGATCTATCGCAATACGCTACAACTAAGCAGACTATGTCGGTTAACAAAATATTTTTATTGAGGCTAGCAATCAAGATGTGACATCTTTCAATAGTCCATTCGCCATTTTCTGAAGAACATCGAAATTATTATAGAATTTACAAGAACAAGCGTCATGTGAGCAAACATTGAAGACCGTCTTGTGAAAGTCGGCAAAGATCACATTAAATAAAGTTATAATGCCAACTGTTACTATAAAGGCCTCGCGAACATGAGCCTTTCACTCCCCTGCCTCCTCACGGCGTCGGCGGCAGCCGGGGTCGCCACGAAAAGCTCCACGAACTTCCCTCGCTTGAGCTTGCCGCTCGCTCTCCTGTCCATCCTCGTGTCAAACACATCTTCTCCTTCACTGTTGTCGTAATCCGCTGCCGGCTCGTTCAGAGCTTCTTTCCTTCTCAATTCTTTCTTATGGTTATGAATGAAGTAAGGTTGACCAACATTGGAGACGTTGGGAGTGGATATTTGTCTGGTGATCTTTGTACCAGAGCCTACTCTTTCGAACGAAGGAAAGTGCCTCTGCATATTTTCGGAGAAGGACTGCCTTCTGTAATGGTACTGCCGGGTGTCGAGCGGTTGGTGCGCGAATGAGGCTCGTCGTCGAGGGTCCTCTTGTCGGTAGGGCTTGCTTCTTGCCTCTTGATTTCTATTCGATTTGAGTGAGTCTTCATAGCTGCCTCTGCAATGTTAATAGCAAACGCTTAATATGATTGTGCTGTCCAAAGTTTTTGTAGGTATAGATTTTAATACAGTGCTGTTGTTTTCACATACTTCTGTGGTGGCAATAACATGTTTTGTATAGCTATACGATTTCACCCACTATTATGCATATTTCTACGCTTCCGCGGGTTGAAATACCAATTCGCAAAGTAGGTTAAACATTCTCAGTGTGAGTTTACGTACTTAAGGCTAGTGCTAAACAAAAAAATGCAAAACTATTTTCAAATGTTAGTTATACATACCCGCTGCTCTCTTCCGAGGTGTGAAGGCTGGAGTGGCCACACGGGCAGCGGGCCTCAGCGATGCCGGAGTCTTGTCCACTGGAATTCACTGAGGTTATCGACGTGTCTTGTCCTTTCCTATTGGGATTGTGTGTTCATTATGTTCGTGTTTTAGTGTACGGAGTAAGGTATGAGAAAATTTAATGTCAAATATCTATTGCGTAGTTGAAAATAGTCAAGACGCCTCGGTTGATTCTGGAGCAAATTTGAATTTATGTGCATAAGATATACAATAGCTTTATTATCAGCGAAAACGGGAAGGCCTGCTTGACGTTAAGTGTAGCCACTTACAGTAGCTACTGCAACCCGGAGTCATTAAAATTTAGGGAAAAGATTGAAGCACATTTTTTTTATTATCAGATGACCAACTTTTTCAATTGGTATGTATTAATGACTTTTTGGCAAACACAGACTAGATGCTGGTAATACTCTGCACGGAATTTTGACAAGTTTCAGATGAGATGAACTTGTATTGTGACTGAAGTAAAATTTTATTGATATAAGTAACTGACTTTACCGGTTTTGTTAGTTATTTTTGAATTTTATATCAGTTTCAGTTATATCATTAATTACTTTAACAGACAAATGGCTCAATCTCAACGAAAGATATATTAAGAGCTAATCCTTGGCACTTGTGAACACATTTTACATACGATGATACAATCAAAATGCCAACTATCGTGTAAGATGTTACAATGAGCTACAGGATATAGCTGGACCAAGACTTCACCAAATTAATATTCATACACCAATTATTTTAAACCGCTTGAACTTAGTTGAAATTAAACTTTCGATTGGAGCTTTTGATGTTAAAGTGAATTGTTGTTAACTTCGATAGCGAACCTTCAACTATTTGAAAGCTCTAATAAGTTTGTAACTTTGTACACAATTACTGCAAAAGCTGCGAACGTTACAAGCTTTTATTGGCCTTTACGATGCGCATCTTTATGGGGTGCTAGTTCGATACAGGGTTATGTCTTTTTACTTTTTGAAATCTATTTTTACTGATCCTATTTTGTATTCGAAGAAATGGATGGACTCAGCCAATTGTGGCGAACTGAAAGAGGTGTATGTTCAGAACGATGTATTGATCATGTGCTCATACCCTCAGAACCCAAAATCAAATTGCTGTTTCGTTCTTCTGTGGTCTTATAAAGTACCATACCACAAGATCAGAGAGAGAGGCATTGTGCAATGATGCCATTTCCTCATTCCCATTGATTTCACTAAAGAATCACGATCACGCTTTGCGTTTCAATTGCACAGCACTCAAGTTACCAGTATGTTGGCAGCACCGTATAGCTGTTATCCGAAAGAAAATTACACTGTGATCTCAAGACGTTGATCTCTGGGCTCTAGTAACTATTAATGCTAAGTCAGTAACTTTGATGTCACTGCTCCATAAGAGTTAGTAATTGTTCTAAAAATACAAAGACTCACCTTTTCTGCATGGGTCGTTGATTGAACTTGATGCACATTCTCTCGTGCTTCTGATTCAAGCCGTCTCCCTCCGCGAATTGGGTTTTCACGCATTTCTGATGAGCCTTCCCGAACTCCTCAACGGTGTTGCCGTGGGGACAAACTTTCTTGGCATTGTGGTTGATCACGTCTATGTATGAATCCGCTTCGCTGTAAGACTGGTTCAGCTCCTGGCACTGGTTCCCTCCCGACGGGAAAAGGCCTCCGTATTTTGTTAAGTGCTCAGTCGAGAAAGCGTTAAGACGTTGTTGGGAATATGGCTTTCTGTGTTGTCTGTTAGGAAAATATTTGCGGGTTTAGAGTATATACAATAGGACGTACTCCGAAGTTATTTATAAAAATATGTTTTTAAGGGCTTATGGCTCCCGAAACATTAGGAATATATAGGTGGAATATTATTAATTACTATCAACTATAAACAATAAATATGAAATCTTCTTTAAGTCCAAAACACTCCACAGATTAGATTTCACTATTACTTTAAAATAGGCCTGCGGCTCATCTGTAGGTCATGACTGTTTGCCAAATTGGCGGGGTCAATGAAATGTGATTTTCATTTATTGCTTTTATAGGCAGACGATCATTATTTTAAATAGGTATTGTGTCTGGTACCACTACTATTAAACAATTAGTTTCTAAAATTAAAAAGTAAACAAATTATTCGGTGCATAAATAATTTCGGAGTTTTTATTGCGTAAAATGTAAGCAAATAATAATATAAATAACGACAGAGAGTTGTACGGTAAGCGCCGCGTGCTAATTATCGAAATAGGAGTGCACAAATAATCTAACTACATTAATAGTGAAGATGTTTATTAATAAAAAATAAATTAAATAAATAACCATCTATAAAAGCTAAGGATTTATAATTTAATAATATTTTTCTCTTCATTTAAAGTATTTAGTGACGTGCTTTCGTCTTTTTCTCTTGTGACGTCTGAAAGGAGAATAAAACAACGAAAAAGAAGAAGTCATTTAATTGTTTTAGTTTAGATTAAATCAACGTAACATAACTTTTCAAAATTTCATCCGCTTTATTATCTTTTTAATATTTTTTTTATTGCCCTTGTAGGCAGACGAGCATACGGCCCACCTGATGGTGAGTGGTTACCGTCGCCCATGGACTTCAGCAATGCCAGGGGCAGAGCCAAGCCGCTGCCTACAAAGGGTTTTTGCAAGGTACTTCATTATACACATTTAATTTGGGATGAATTAAAAAAAACTAATGACATTTTACTTGACCAATTTCACGGCTGGTCAAAGAAGCCTTAATTAAATAACGAATTGCAAAGCCAATTCAAGGTTAATTTAACGCTTTTAATTGCCTTTGTTTTTTCCCGGTCCGTCGCGATATGCAAATATGTTCTTTGTCAAAGTAATTTCAGTTAAAATAGACTTGTAAGTGAAAATAAAGTTTCTTTGTAAATCAAGTTTCACTTCGAATGTTCTCGGCGGCTCGTTTGAACAATCTTCGCTTATTAAAATTATTTCTTACTAACGAATATTCAATTTATTTCAAATTTGAATCCAAATAAACAAGATAAATGTACAATAGGATTCGAAATTTACAAATATACTTATTACTGGTGGTAACGGATAACGGATTCACAAGAGGTCCCTCTTGTGAATCCGCACGGGTAGGTACTACCACCCTGCTTATTACTACCGTGAAGCAGTAATGCGTTGCATTTTGGGGGGGCAGCCGTTGTAACTATACTTGAGAACTTAGAACTTATATCTCAAGGTGGGTGGCACATTTACGTCGTAGATGTCTACGGGCTCCAGTAACCACTTAACACCAGGTGGGCTGTGAGGTCGTCCACCCATCTAAGCAATAAAAAAAAAAAATTTAATTTTAAGTTCTATTCGAAGTATAAAGAAAATAAAACTGCAGGATTCGCAACAACCCACGGACATTCGGTAACGTGCGAACTTATTGTGGTACACTTCATTCAGGGTTGTTTGCATAAGAGTTAGTGTATTGCGCAAACGAACGCTCTGAGATCGTGGTCAATGAATGATAAAAAAATATGTAATTTTTTGTACAAAGTTAAGTCGTACATTGTGTGCATTACTAATAAAAATCTTACGTTACGGACGTTTTTTCCCGGTTAGGGTACCCCTCCGCATCGTCCCATAAGGAACTTCGTTCCAAAAATAATAATAATAATAAGTACAGCTGCTGGATACTGCATATTTGTGTCGAGCTCTGCGGTTGGGAATAATAGATGATGAAGCCTCACCTCCGACTCCTCCGCACGCAGAGCACGCAGACGGCCGTGGTGCAGGCGCCCACGAACACGATGCAGCCGAGCGCCACCACGCTCAGCTCCAGAGTGCTGAGCAGCTTCCCGCCGCCGCGCGCCTGCACCATCGCCGCGCCTCCCACCTCCAGAACCTTGAACCCTGGTAAGCTGTGCCGAAGCTCGGACTCGCGCTTCAACAGCGACCTGCGACGAGTTACGACTTAATTAAAACGAAACAGTTTTAAAAACGATCCAAATTTGTATACACAAATAATGAGTGAATTTTGAAAAATGAAAAATTTTACTGATGGTAGGACCTATTGTGATTTTGCACGGGTAGGTACCACCGCCCCGCCTATTTCTGCCGTGAAGCAGTAATGCGTTTCGGTTTGAAGGGTGGGGCAGCCGTTGTAACTATACTGAGACCTTAGAACTTCTATCTCAAGGTGGGTGGCGCATTTACGTTGTAGATGTCTATGGGCTCCAGTAACCACTTCACACCAGGTGGGCTGTGAGCTCGTCCACACCTCTACCAATAAAAAAATATTTGAATTTGTTGATTTTGGTCTGTTTTAAGTTTTAATACTATGGAATTAAAATCCAAATTTGCGTTCCAACTGACAGAGACATGAAATAAACTGAAGGTCCTTCAGTTTATTTCATGTCACACTTACTTCTGAAGTTCATCCATGTCGATGATCGCGTTGGAGAGCGGGTCCACCGCGTAGATGTACATGTCGGTCCTGAAAGAAAGCAGCGGCTTACAATTTAATTCATAAAGGATAATTAACTGGTGAAAACTCTCGGCTAAATTCTGTACAGGTCAGTGTATCGACGCTATGAACTAAAATACTTAATACAGCTATAATAAGTTGGTCAGACTAGATACGCTTTACTCTCAACACTTTAGTCCACGATGCTATCCACACAGCCGAGGATAGGCGGGAGTGGCGCAGGATAATCCAGGAGGCCACGACCCTCAAAATTGAGGATTATCGACATAAGAACGAGCAGTAGCTGGGATAACGATTAAAATTAAATTGTTTGCAGCAAGAATAACTCTTGAATTAAGGCAGACTTTGATATATATTATAGAGATGGGATTGGCTCAGGGGCTCTGAGGGCAGACTGAATCCTGCACTCCTGGATCAAACAAGAGAAGCTGACGTACGCATGCCCGTCTCCAGCCGCCTTGGTGTTGGCTTCAAGTCGCCGGACGCGGATGTCGTAGCCGGTAATGGCGGTCAGAGAACGAGTGATATTTTCTAAACCTTTCTCGACCTCCATCGGTCTCGCGCCAACGACCAGAACCAGCTGTTTGTTTTCATCCAACACGTAGACCTGATGAAGAAAAAGGTTTCTGAGTATTTAGGCTGAACCTCTCTGAATAAATATACGTTTGGAATGATTGAGTTAAATAAAATTTGATACGCGTAATTATCAAAGAATAATGTTATGTTCAAAGATCTCATTATAATGCGATTTTAACTAGCTTAGCAAACCGAAGAACCGTGTCAGAAATGGTGCTGGGTCACAGGAAACGTTTTATTACAAAACCCTTCCTTGTTGTACAAATTATTATATAATTAATATATAATAAGAACATAAACATACATAATCTAAAAAAGACTCAACAAACTTACAAAACCATCACACTATAACTTACGAAAACATTAGCGATGGCCGACTTCCCATCGTCAGCTCCTTTCTTATCTGTGGCTTTGACGTCGAATCCGAAGACTCTTCCGGCGTCCCTGGCCAGAGCCGCCACCACCCGGACCGTCCCCGACACTGGGTCGATGGCGAACCGGGGGGCCTGCTCGTTGAGTATCTGGTAGCGGATGTCTGCATTGATCCCGATGTCAGAGTCTGTAGCCTGGGGAGATATTACGACCATCGAGGCTTAGCCATAGCAAAAGGGACTCCGAGATTTTTCTGCTTAAAGATTTGAAATATTTCAAGTGAAGGCGCAGGGGTACTGGGACTAATGATTGCAATTTAAAATAACATAAATATTGTGGTTTTCAAATTTGAGGAACAAATACTACAAAACCAGATTAGACAAGAACAGAGTTAAAATATATCTGGACAAATCTAGCAAATACTTCATTAACTTCAAATAATGATAATGTAATAGATCATAATCCTTCCATGATCATATTCAGTAAGTTAACTGTTATAATGAGCCTACCTTTAGCTGCATAACTTGATATCCGAAGGGCGCAGTGGTCGGTATGGCCGTGACCAAGGGACGATTCCCGTTCGTAAACTTCGGGGAATTATCATTCACGTCTTTAATTCTTACTACTACTTTGACGTCATACTTGGTCATTCCTTCCAACACATCCTCGGCTACAGGGTAGATCATATGAGGGAGTTCTCTACTATATTTCTGTCTTTCGGCTCTTACTATGACCTCATAAGTGTCTTTGACCTCTCGATCTGGACTTCGAACGAGATACAAAGTGCCGTTTCTTGGATCAATAACAAACGTTCGTCTGATATCTGTATCATTTTCGTTCAATATGTAATATCTCATTTTAAAGTTTTCATAATGCTCGGTCAAGTTCAGTGAGACTAACTCCACAGGTGCATTTACGTTCTCCTCGATTTCTAGTTCATAGTATCGCGATATAAATACTGGCTTGTCCGACATTTCTACTTCGTCGGGAACGTCAGCGACAGTAACCATCAGTATGGCAGTCGAACTCAAACTTGGCAGTCCCAAATCTGACGCAACTATAGTTATGTTGTGCGCCGACTGATTCTCGAAATCGAGACGACCTATTGTTGTGATGGTTCCTTCTTTGGAGTCGATCGCAAACAAACTCTGTTGGTTCTTCCTTTGAGGAAGGCTATACAAAATCAAGCCGTTGCCGTTGCCAATGAAATCAGTGTCGTTTGCAAACACTTTAGCGACCGTGGTCCCGATCGGTGCGTTTTCTTCAATCGTAGCTTTGTAAACAGGAATCATCATTACCGATTCGAAATTATGGTTAGACAGTTCGTCAGCTTCGGGGTGTTTCCATTCTAATAATTCATCGAAAGCGTAGAATTTAGGCGAGTTATCATTTACATCTAGTACTTGAACTTCCACACTGACAGAAGATGATAGTTTCTTTTCGAGGCCATTATCTCTCGCCACGACAGTCAGTATGTACTTATCCTCAGTCTCTCTGTCCAGCTCTCCATTGACGCTGAGAACTCCGGTCAAAGGTGATATTTCAAACGGTAGATCCGTGTCCGAAGGTTGAATGAAATACGTTAGATTTGCGTTCTGTCCAAAATCAGCGTCAGTTGCGTCCACTTTTCCTAAAACGCGTCTGGTGTACTGAGCTTCTTCAACATTGAAATTGTACCAAGTTTTCTTAAAGACCGGAAAGTGGTCGTTGACATCCTTGACGAACACTCTCACCGAAATGTTATCGTTCAAATTTCCACCATCTAAAGCGGAAATGTTCAATCTGAATTCTGACTCTGGCGGCAAGCTTCGTGCGACAATAACGTGGCCGTGCCGTTCGTTGATCACAAAGTATCGCTTCACTTCTAGTGCGTCAGCGGACAGTTTGCTCGGTGGAATATAAACTTCTGAATTGAATTCATATCGTATCTGTCCGTTGAGTCCGCTGTCGAGATCCAAAGCGTTTAATTTTATAATTGTTGTTCCGATAGGAATGTTTTCTGGTATCAAAAATAAAGGCCCTAATTGATCAACATCAAGAGCAAATTTATTTTTTGGTTTTACTTCAATGATTGTGAAGCCGGCTGTTCCATTAAGTTTTGTTTCTCTGTGAATTCTGACTTTCGAATTTTCGTCGGCTTCAATAAGCTCTACATATCTGTCCATGGGCATTATTATTTGGTTAAATTCCGGCTTATTATCGTTCTCATCACCAATCATTATGATTAATTCGGCCTCCGAACTCAGGCCTCCGGTATCTCTAGCCACCAAGCTTAGCTTGTACATGATTTTTTTCTCTCTATCCAAACTGTCTCCTATAAATTTAACAACTCCGGTGTTTTCGTCAACATCAAACATTTCTTTGCCTTCACCGAACAACGTGTACATGAATAAAGCATTTGTTCCTTCATCAGCATCAGTAGCCTTTATTATATTGTCCATCTTAATTTCTGTTTCTTTCTTTGAGTTTTCCATAATGAAGCCCTCATAAGTAGTGTGTTCGAAAACAGGCGGATTGTCGTTTTCGTCTTCAATGTATATTGTGACTTGATATATTCCTGCGCCGGAAATTACACCTTTGTTGAACTCAGCTATCACAGTCATCCTGTAAACATCACGCTTTTCTCGATCTAAAGGTTTCTGGGTAAAGATAGTTCCGTCTTCCGCTGAAAATAATAAAATAATACAGACATTAGTAATAAATAAAATTATGAGGTATGTGATGTCGTCCCAGTACCAATCTCTCGTTGCGATGTCGTAATGCGACGTACCTAGGGACTTAACGAATAATGAACTGCAGCAGTTATCAGAGTTTGTGTACTGCGATTTGCAACCGGCAGTTGTAGAGTACACCAGGTGTAGGGCAGTGAGCCCGCACAGTTATGTCTTCTCTCCTGTTACCTAGTTATCTATCCTGTCTATTTCTGCAGCAAAGCAATCACGTAGTCCAGTTTGAAGAAAGGACAACCGTTACACTAAATAATTTAGATAACGAGCTCATGTCCCAAAGTGGCTAGCGAGCATCGTGTTGTGATATCTATAGGTTCCGGCATCTACTTTAAGCCCAGAGTATACAATAATATTGCAATAATTTCGGCGTTGAGTATTTGAAAAGAGATTATCCCGTCCCAACCTTGCGGCCACGGACCGAATGATACTAAATTATATATTTATAAGTTTATTCACGTTATGATATTGTGTCACCAGCGTTATTACTAACCTATAGCTATGTCATCCGTAACGTCTTGTTGATTTGCGATCAAGAATCTTACATTTCCTGTGCCGTTACCATAAATGGAACTCATGTTGGTGTGGAAAATTTGTCCTATAGCGGCCCCGGCTGAGTTTTCTTTGACGTGGAATATTATTGGTGAATGTGCACCTCTGCAGGAAAAAACGTTTCAGAGTAAAACTTTTATGTTCTAATGTAAATAATTAAATAGATATTCAGTTTCAGGTATTTTTAGTAAACGCAAATGAATTCCAACATTTAACATCTCGATGCTAGCGGATTCTATGGGTCATATCAATGGGCTCCGCTGACCTCTAAAACCTAGAATGGGAGCTCACCCGCTTAAATAAATAAATAATAATTGCCAGCCATAACCCGCAGAGCCAACGGCATTATCTACGGAGACACATGAAGTCGTAGTCCCAAAATCAGTTTGACCGACAACAATGATATCAGTTCATCTGATCCACTAATCCTTTATTAGACGCTTGCAGCTCTAGCCCTGGGACCAGGCATAGGTACCTTGGTAATCGCATGGAAATCTAGCTCATAGAATCAAACCGTTGCGTTTCTCGCCGAAGATTGTCAGCGGTTTCCGATCCCAACCCGAGAGTAGGTGAATCCCAGAATGCAGGTGGATCATAATACTACTATTTTCACTGGTTTACAATAGGTTACATTATCCTGTATAATCATATTTTACGATTTTCTACAAGTGTCCTGAGCTATGAGGATTTACTAACTAATTCCACTTTATTACTTGCTTGACTTGTGGCAATCGTTCATTAACTCAACAAAGCCTTAATAATTTAATTAGGAATTGATGCAAAGTTCTAGATGAAGTGTAATTGTTTTCAACTTACTTCAGTAAAACACCTCTCTCATCATTAACGTCAACCACGTGAACTGTGGCGTTGGTCACTATGGACAGGTTGGCGTTTTCTTGTAAAGCCACCGCTTCGAAATCGTACATTGGACGATTGTACCGGGAGAGATCGTCCACTACGGTTATGACCCCGGACCTTTCTTCTACAGCAAACGGTACTGAAAAATATAGTATAAAATGTAGTTAAATAATCAGTAGAATCAAACAGCAAGGACAAATGAAGGCTACCTCACCACAGAATACATCAACCTCATCAACACCGATCACTAATACTTTTCTTCGTTTCATAGTGCGGCATATATGCGAATATTTTAAAATAAAGTTAGACTTAACATAAAGCTATCTAGCAAGATTAATTTCTGTGTAATGCATTACCTCCTTCTTCGTATCCATGTAGCAAATCATAAGAAACATCGTTTTGTTCAAATGCGTCATTAACTCTAATTTGTCCAACACTTGTACCAATACCAACATTTGATCCAACCCAGAATTCGTATGGCGCTCCCATAAAGTCAGGTATCTCTGGCTTGTTACCTAAAAATATATTAATTAATATCGTCTAGCATTGAATTGATAGCTATAGCTGGATTTTTCGCTAAGATCTTTTCTTTCTCTTCTAGATAAGTTTAACTTATTAGAATTTTGAAAATAGGTGTAAAGATAAGGAAGGGTGTAGTGTATTAAATTTACATTATACTCTGACATCTGTCTTTAGTTTAAATGGATTATTTTACTTTTCTATCTTCTAGAACACATTAAGTATTGTGTAAATTCAGCAGATGCTTTTCTACGTCATAGGTACCTTTAGTTCCTCTCGTAACTTCAATAGTAACTACAGCCAGTGAATATCTCCTTTCACTGGGGTTGGCCGGTTGGTCGGAAGCTTCGACAAATAAAGCATGCCTTCCTTCCAAAATGGGAGATTCAGCCACACTAACAGTTCCAGTGTTTGGATTTATTTTAAAAGGCGATGTTATGGTCAAATTGCTTGTTCTCTGTAAATCGTATAGCACCATGCCATTTTGTCCCAAATCTGGATCTACAGCCTTCACTTTGCCAATAACAGTGCCAACTTTCGCGTTAGATTTCATGCTGAATTCGTAAAGGTTACTCGGTACAAATACTGGGTTGTTATCATTCGCGTCGAGTAATGTAACCTCCACGTTAACAAAAGACATTAGTTGCTCGTCATAGTATTCTATATTTTCAGTTTTAGTGCCAACTTTATCAGGAAACACGTAAGTAGTCTTTTCTAAGGGAGCGTTGGTTTCCAAGGGCTGTCGACGCCATTTTGCTATGCGTTGGCTGTCAGCGAAAGTCCCGACCACGCTCGGGTTTGTCTCTTTGGCGTAGACTTTCATCCTTAGAGACGAATGGGCTTCTCTGTCGAGGACAGTCTGGAAATTAAGTTGGTTCTTTAGAATATATTCTGACTGTTTTGGTCGAAACCTATCGCATTAGAATTGTGTTTTTATACCTTACTTGTACAGATACGAATGAACTGATATACTAGGTATAAACTTTTCCAATTTTAACAACATTTTTTATGTAATCTAATAAATTTTTATTAAATATTTTTAAGAGTCATCTATATTTCATGTTACTTAGATTTAAAGTATAGTTCTTCCATTAAAAAAAAAACAACGTATTTTGTAAATTATTTGAATAAACCATAATAACAATACCGCGGATATTAATCTATACTTTTTTTAAATTAATAATACTATAAAAAAGTAAAAAAATTTATGTTAATTTTTTTTTACTTAAAGACGCAAATATTTTTGAGCGAATATGTATAAGATTATGGCCAGCAATAACACAAAGGTAATTTTTTATCATGCTAAATGGCAGGGCCCGGAGATTCTAGGTTTATCTGCTTGATCAATAAAATTGATTGATTGTAGAATCAATAAAACACTGTGTTTATTCAGGTCTATGGGGTCTATGACTTTTCTGGTAGGTTATAGATCAGAGAGTGATACAACAAAATCGAGAATATGTGAAGTGTTTCGTTCATTCTTTTAAATAGGGGTATAGCAGTTACGCATATCTAGTAGTAATATTAAAGCCTAATTCAAAATATGATTCTTACTTGATTCCGGACAGTGAGCCATCCGGATCTAGGATCGATTGAGAAGGCTCCTTTTGGATCGTCAAGCTGATACGTGAATTCACCATTTTCACCTTGGTCTTTATCGGTTGCCATCACTTGAAGAACACTAAACCCTAAGATAAGAAAAAGGAAAGCAAACAACAGTTTTAAAATTTAAATAATCACAATCATCATTGTAAAATTCAAAAAAAAAAAAAATATGTAATATAAAAAAATTAATAAATAATAATTTATTAAAAAAAAAAAAAAAACATGCCCGCTGAGTTTCTTGCCAATTCTTCTCAGGACGGAGGCTAGTTCTTGTGAATTGGCGGTAGTTCTTTTGACGTTCAACAAGTATGTACTTTCATTTATGTTGAATAAAAATTTTTGGATTTGATTTGATTTGATTTGTAACAAACATTTTTTACTGCAGATGCAACAGAAATTTAACACCGGCATAATTATTGATACGGTAGACCGAGCGTCTCATCTTTGAAGTCATGACAACTTCAAATTTACAGTTTAGTAGATACCTATTAGACTGTCCCATAAACTATGAAAAGGAGGAAAATCCAATGAAAATAATATTACTGAGGATAACTGAAAATAGACCACCTGGCCACAAGGACCGAAGATGTACATTTACTATTGGAGAGTTTAATCTAAACTTACCATTTGGGAGGTTTTCCACTATACTAATATTATAAAAATCAACTTCAAATTCAGGTAAATTGTCATTTAGATCCAAAAGCTCTATTTCAACTCTGGCTTGAGCCGTTTTTAGAGGATTGTTCAGCTGTGAGGCTTGAACTTGAAGGACGAACGTGTTTGCTGAAAGAAGTTACACAGTTCTTAATATACGTTATTTGGATCACCTTTATAAAGTGATCTTGCGGAATCTTAATCTAGTTATTTTGTAGTCAAATACCCAAAAATTGAGAAATTTATAGATAAGTGAAGAGATAGTAAATTATTGGTTGAATCCACTTCAGATTTAAACAAATTTTGCATTTTTAAATTAAATTATATTATGGAACGAGTTACGTTTTTTTTTTTTATTGGTTCAAACCGAAATTCATTACTGCTTCACGGCAGAAATAGGCGAGGCGGTGGTACCTACCCGTGCGAACTCACAAGATGTCCTACCACTAGTAATTACGCAAATTATAATTTTGCGGGTTTGATTTTTATTACACGATGTTATTCTTTCACCGTGGAAGTCAATCGTGAACATTTGTTGAGTACGTATTTCATTAGAAAAATTGGTACCCGCCTGCGGGATTCGAACACCGTTGCATCGCTTGATACGAATACACCGGAGGTCTTATCCTTTAGGCCACGACGACTTCAACGACTACGTTATGAAATCTAATGAAATTTATTTATGTAATAAAACCTCATGAATAATTGCATCTAATTGCAAAATCTAGCTATCAAATATTAATAGATTTTGCAGTTACCTTGTAAGTTATGTTCGGCGTCCAAATCTAATTCTTTCTCCAAGAATAGACTACCATTCACAGAATCCAGAGAAAAGAGCTTTCTGTCGTTCCCAGAGATTAATTCATAGCGCAATGTAGCGCCGACGCCTAGATCTTGATCAATTGCATGTATAGGTTCTGGGAAGAGTATTTCTTTGTGGATACGTTTACCCTAGGAAGTACAGAGGTAAATCAATCAATCAATCAAGTACAGAGGTAATAAATTTGAAGGCTATAAGAAAAGTCAAAGGGCTACATTTGCAATTAAGATTGTTTCGTAGTAAAAATATAGAGTGCGTTAGGAAATAGTGTGATAATAGTGTCAGTACAAGCTTTATGTACCATCAGTAATATATCAGCAGCATTTGTATCCTTAAAAATCTCTTAGCATTAGCTAAACTCATTAATATATTTAATGTGCACTCATCAAAATTTACGACCTTCAAAACCAAAGTAAAACTCTTAACATTAACCAACAGCTTATAAATAATGTCGATGATGAGATCCAGCCCAATTATGAATTTCAAACTCAAATAACAATCAAATGGAAGTTACAGCAAATCATTATAACCTGTTGCTTTCCTCTGTTCTTGAAAAAATCAGTATAATTTATATCCGCCTGCCGCTTGCCAATCCATTCTTCATTGTGCTTACTCACCGAATTTGTAATGATATTAAAATTAGGGCGGATTCTTGGTCCATGTGGATTGACTTGCGGAAATAAATTATCAAATTTATACCTAATGGTTTCTAGGGCTGAGATATTACTTGTTTTATTAGTTTGGGAGGAGGGGAGGGCTAAGTAGTTAAGTTAATGGAGGATTTTGTAAGATAAAACGCTGTCTCTCCTATGCGAGGTATACAGTAAAGATACGAGGGTCACATCCACATTGTTGCGACTCAATCATCGATTCAATTCCGATTCGCTGAAGGTACCTTCCGAAACACTCTTGTCCAACATTAGAACCCGCAGGCGGAATCGGTCGTTTATAATAATATGTCTTAATATGGTCCATAGTATTAACCATGTTTGTACTAAAATTTATTTGCTGATTTGAAGAAATTGTTTTTTTTTTCCTACCTAAGCTGTTAGCCTTGAGAGGCTACATCAGCGTCGCCATAACTAGTAGGTGAGCTCACGGGGCTCAAACCTGATGACGTTGCTAACACGAACCCTAGCAAGAGCCGTGCCGCAGAATCTACCACCGGATCGGAAACGCGACCCACTGAGAAGATTCGGCGAGAAACTCAGTGGGCTGTGTCTGAAGGTTAATTTACTCGTCGAGCCCTTCGTCGGGTTCGACGAGAACGTTGACCGGGGAAATTGTTGATTTACTTACCATCAATGGATAAAATTCTGGAATCTGTGTTCTGTACGCATCTTTCGTGAACTTTGGAGGCAGGTCGTCGTTGTCTTGTACCACGATGTGAACTGTGGTGTTGGAACTGCGAGGAGGGGACCCGCGATCCTATTTGTAGAACAAACAAAATTGAACTCTAGACATCAGTTTCAGAGAGTGAGAATTTAGTCTTCTTTTTAACCTTCAATTACGATTCTACTAGATTTTTGTATAGTTTTTTTTCATAATTTAGACCTCCATTTCTTTCGAAAAAATCAGGGAGAACGAGAAACAAACATGTCTTCCTGAAAAAAAATACTTACAGAAGCCATAATAACAAGTTGAAATTCTTTGTCTCCGGCATCGTAGTCCAAGACCTTTCGAAGAAGCAGAACAGGTTTGTGTGAGCTCTCCAAAGCGAAGTGACCGTCATCGTTACCAGATACGATGCTGTAGTGGACGTCCGAGTTCGGAGTGTTGGGTTTGTCGCGATCGAAGGCTCTGATATCTTTGAAAATTGTTAACCCTGCAACGAAGACGCACTGTTGTGGATCCCAATGTATTAAAATGCAATAGCTGTCAATACACACACGCGAGCTTGACAGTGAGGCACCGGGGAGTTTGAATTTTAACTGCTATTCGTCTTACACTAAGTAGTAAAATGAAACAAAAGATATGATTATTTTAAGATATAGAACAGCTACAGTCGTGAGTGAATAGTTTAGACTATTGAAATTATTAAGTAATATTTTTTTTAGTGCTTAGATGGGTGGACGAGCTCACAGCCCACCTGGTGTTAAGTGGTTACTGGAGCCTATAGACATCTACGACGTAAATGCGCCACCCACCTTGAGATATAAGTTCTAAGGTCTCAGTATAGTTACAACGGCTGCCCTTCAAACCGAAACGCATTACTGCTTCACGGCAGAAATAGGCGGGGTGGTGGTAGCTACTCGCGCGGACTCACAAGAGGTCCTACCACCAGTAGCTTCATTTACATTCTGTAGTTGACATAGATTAGTAATCGAAATCCCCCGACGTCCTAATCCTCTTTTTGTTTACATCAAAAGTCTTCGAGCTCTCCACATAATGAATCGTTAGCTCAGCGTGTTTGAACGAGACAGGCTCGGATATTATTAATGAATTTCCTCTCGATACTCAACGGTTTTGTGTATATATCGTTTTTTTCCTGTTTTTATTTCAATGGGTTTTTTGGATTTAAATTTTCGTGATTAAATATGTATATCGCGACGGAAAATAAAAAAAAAATCTTAAGCATTACCGTAACGGTAAATACACAATTATAATTTTTCAGTTTTACTTTTTAATGGATTTCACAAAGCAGCAGTGCTAACTGCAAACTGAACCAAGTAACTTTTTTAAAATCATATGAGCTCACAGCGTACTTAGCATTAGATGCTTTTTTTTCCTCCTACCTATGCTGATAGCCTTGAGAGGCTATTTCAGCTTCACCCTAACATGTAGGTGATCTCGCGGGGCTCAAACCAGAAGTGTTGCTAACACTGACCCTAGTAAGAGCAGTGCTTCGCAGAATCTACCACTGGATCGGAAACGTGATCCTCTGAGAAGATCCGGCGGGGAACTCAGTGGGCTGTGTCTATGGGTTAATTCACTCGTCAAGCCCTTCGTCGCAAGCGACAGGTTCGACGAGGTCGGTGGCCGGTGCTTGTGGTACCTAAGAGCAATGTTAATAGATAGGGAGGACCCATAAATAAATAATTTAACAAAATTAGATGCGGTATAAGCTTTGGGCTTATACCCGTTAGACTCGTTAATTTCAATATAAATGAAGCACGACATAAGATAAGATGCACAACATCTTGATAACATATTGCCTTTGTAGTCGAACACTGACCTCGCGGTACAGTAAGCGGTATCGTTAATGACGGGACCATAGGAGCGATCAAAAATATAAAAGCCTTCTCACCTGTTGGAGTTAATTCATCAACAGTAACATGATATGGGGTGTCGAGGAATATTGGCACGTTGTCATTGACGTCTTCAATGTACACTGTCACCGAGAGGTAAGCTGAGATCTGAGGATAAAAAGAGCCTGGTTAAAACACTCAACACCTAGTAATTGATACATGGGCGAGACAGTTGTAAGCAAATCTGTATCTAATAGAAATAGTCTAATACACAAAAGTTCGTTTATCGAGTAATAAACAACTGCAAATATGAATAAAGTAACAAACCCTTGTCTACACAAGGTGATAAGGGATAGAATTGAAAAAAAAATACGATAACTTAGTGGAATGTATTTACGTTTAAAATTGCCAAATAAAATGTAATATTGCTTACGGAATCAAACTAAAATCCCGTGATACTGCTCTCTGCACTGATGAAATTATAAAAATCAGACAAAGCTTTTGAATCCAAAAACTAAATCACTTAATATCTAACACAGTATTTGTATCGCTGTAAAAGACGTCCAATGCTAAATTTAGGATTCTTTAAAATAATACCACATTGCTGCTGTAATGCCTTGGGGCATATTAAATAAACAGGTTCTAAAAAAGGCCGCATTTAACATCAGAGTTGTGATGTTTAAAAAATTGTCATAACAGACCCGTGGAGGTCAATTCGAGACTATCCCGAGGGTAGTTAGCGGGTCAGTTACTGAAGTATTAAAATTATCTCGACGCAAAAATGGGTGAAGGACTCCCCTTACTATCGGTTTGTGTTGACGTTCACGAAAATTAAATGTATTTAGATTGGAAGTACTTGAAATAATTAATTTTTCGAAGCCTTGTTTGATAATCATTGATCGTTCAAAGATTTTATAATAGAAAAAAATGAGCTAAATAACCTTTAGAATTGATGAAAATGTCAGAATATTCTAAAATTAAATACGTTAATTATTTAGAATATATATTTAAAAATTTATGGCTTGTCATTAATTTATTCAGATTTAGTGGTTCGAGTTTAGACGATTGGCTAAGAATCGTGTTGAGTCTATCCGTTTCTTCTAGTGACGAAATTGGGCAATAAAATAAATAATAGTTTAAAAAATCAAAAAAATACGCTTTTATAGAAAATCCAACTAAAGAATAGAAAATAAATTTTACAATCAAATCATTTTTTCTTACACTATTTTTAATTTATTACTACTATTTATTATTATTATACTATTTTTTAGTTGGATTTTTTATAAAAGCATATTTTGTTAGTTTTTTTAAAGTATTATTTATTTTTCATTTTTTAGTTGAATTTTTTCAATTCAATTTCAATTTTCTTGTAAATATTGAATTGTCTTCGGTTCTTAGTAAGTATACCAAATTTCGACTTAATTCGACGTTTTGAAGGTCAAAGTCATGTTCAAAGATTCCGTTACATACTAACATACATACGTCTGAATCTAATAAAAGCGTATTAATATCAATGTTATTGCTGCAAATAAATAGCCCATCTGTTAATAATTTAGTAACACCCCTGCTTAGAAAGGGTCGAAGTATCAATAGTAATGCGCAAGGGCTGTCTTGCTCTACACTGGAACAGATAGGTTATTTTGGCATAACTAAGTAGCTTGGTGGGACCTCTCCGTGCAGACTCAGAATACGCCCTACCGCTGGTAAATGACATAACAGTATTCTAATATAAGTCTTGGAGAATGCTGGTCCATATTCACAGTCGCCTTCATGACACGTACAACGTGAGATGTGGCTTTTTTTATTGCTTAGATGGGTGGACGAGCTCACAACTAACCTAGTGTTAGGTGGTTTCTGGAGCCCATAGACATCTAAAACGGCTGCCTACCCTTCAAACCAAAACTCATTACTGTTTCACGGCAGAAATAAGCGGGGTGGTGGTACCTACCCGTGCGGACTCACAAGAGGTGCTACCACCAGTAATGGTAACCAGTTGCTGCATTATTCTGGTGTTGGGGTCGTTCTAAAGCGGTGACTAAATATACCTCACGCAATGAACGTAAGCATCATTTAAATAGATCGAGACAGTGGTAGTGGCAACTGAGGTGAGGCGACCGGTAGAAGCTCCCGACCATTTTTAATGAATGCTGTTTTCATCGCTTCGTTTTAATCGATTCAGACAATGCAGAGAATATAATGCTTCCGTTTTTATTATGGGGCCGAGGACGGGTCGAATTCCCGTGCGTTGCCATTGATGTCGGGTAGGACGTCAGGACGATGGGATGCCTCGCACACCTTTTTTGAATTAGACCTTGATCTATACTTTATTTTTGACGTGACAACGTCTTATAATTCGATGGAGCCGGCTGCACGCACGAAAAAACGTGACTCATGCGGCGTTACCTCGCTCTGAGGCGTTCTATTTAAAGTTTGAAGTGCAAGCGAGGGCGTGCAACGAGCGACAAAGAGGCACAATCGGCCTCCGCGTTCGGCAGCGTTCGACATCTGTCTCTCTCCTACTTGAGTGAGCGATGCATCCGCGTGGACAGCTGCTATACAATAATACATTTACATGTTTTCGTCAAGTATGAAGTTCAGTGAAAATTAAATGTGTTGTCAATTGTTTGTAGCAACGATAATTGCGATAATTGAATGAAACCATTCCATCAGTATTATGCGTAGCTTTAAAGATTTAAGCATACATATGGATATAGGGACAGAGAAAGCGACTTTGTTGGATACTATGTAGTGATGATCATGAAGATAAGCGTGAGCTGACCCCTATATCCCGGAAAGTAGTTATCGTAGCTTGTAGACAGCGAAACGTGAGGTCATTTTGAGGCCTGAGGTTGTAGTACCAATTATTATAAATAGTATCGGCTGTCCCGTACTTCGTCGAGGTGTATAATTGTAACCTGCCGGAAATAGGCAAGATAGCGGTATTTCCTGGGTTCTGTATACGGTATGCGGTACACGGTCTCACGATACTAACAATAATTGCTTAGACCTGTAAATTTCTTTTATTTTTTTCAATATTTTCTCTTTAGCGTGAAGGTACCATGCCCGCTTATTTATAAAAAAAGCTACGTTTTCGCGTTGCAGACTAAGTCAGTCGCCATTTGTAAGGAGTAGAAAACTCAACCTCAAGTTTCAAAGTTAGAGGCAGCAAGAATGATTAAGCTTCAGTGAGCGCTCAATGCCGGACTGTAAATTCGCTTCCCCGGGCTCAGCGGAGAAATCATGTATGTGACAGAACCTACAGCTTGATTGGCCAAAAGGCCGTAAGTCACAGGTCAAGGCGTAGAGCCTAAGAGTCAATGTAAGCATTACGAGCTATCAACGTAAGGATACCGACCATAGATTTTAACCTATGCGCAGTTCATTGACTTATCTTCATTGTTCAGTTTAGATCGCCCGATACGATTTGTCGGAGAGCGATGAAATTAGGCAGCTTGAAGCAAGAGTCTAATGGGTACTACAAAAAAGCTTAGCATCTATCTCACTCGCTCGTGAGCACTAGTGGATAACAAAGTGCTTATTGAGGATAGCAACATAACCGGATTCCAGAAAAAGCTCACGTTTTTAAACCAGCGTGCAAGTTGGATTACCTACATGAATTGTATACCAGATGAGTGATTTACATTAACACTAGCGCACTGTTAGCGTAGCAGTGTTGACCGTAGATTCTTTCCGATGTCCTGTGTCGGTCAGTTCAAGGGCTATGACCTTCAACGCCAACAAAAACTCTCAATTCTCTAATTCAATTATTTGCGACAGAAGTCATTTAAAAATCGTGTGATTGTAAACCGACCTTCGAAGCCTCCATTTTTTACGACACACGTAAAAAAAACGTAAAAATACGCTCCTCAATTCGTTTCTGGAGTTTATCTGCACGTGATAGGCGATCAGCGACGTCTCGACCGTTCCTCATAGATTTGACGGCCGGGATGCCTATTTATGTACTTTATAGGCCATTAGTAGTGCGAAAAGCTATTTTGTATATGATTTGATTTAGATTAAATTGGGAAAGTCACTAACGGATTAATAACTTCGATGATTTTGAGCTAATACGTAGATAGGTACTTTAGATCTCTTGGACCACAGGCTATGCCTACATTGGATAGCTGATATAGATTTTCAAATTGTCACGCAAGAAATCTTGGATATTATATTAATTAAGCAGTAAGGTGTTTTTAGTTACAACCATAGTGTTCATTATCTATGTTAATGTTCCTCAACACTAGGCGAGCGAGAAACTGTTTATAAGATAAAGATACAATTTTTATGCCACTTTAGGGGAATGATATCCCGCCCTACGGTACTTACTAGACAGTTTTTGTAATAAGCCTTATACGTTAGTCAGTCAGTGGCTATCGTGCAGCGATCCACCGCGGTCGCTGATGCAAATAAACATGCAATTATACTTAGTGTTTTATTGACCGCTCCGATGAGCTTCGGGAGGGTATCATTCCCCTACACCATGATGTGAATGCCGCCACACACATGGAACTTGATTTCGCACTATCAACAACAATCGTCATATCATTGAACAGACAGAGAAACACGATAACGGCAAACTTTTAAGCTCCTAAAGTCCCTAATTATCATCTAATTGTAACACCATCACCTGGTTCAATCCAGCACCGATCCTCACCAGGTCATCTCCCTCATCGAAGTCGCAGCCAAGTCTGAACTTCACCACGTTCTGCGGAGAATCACTGTCTACTAAGGAGTCGATGCTCTGAGCCAAGATTACGGAGACGTGAGTCCGGTTCAGGTCTCTGTACGTGAAGAGATGGGCGTCTTCTTCTCGGTCTACTGGTTGCAGATTCAGGTTTTTCCTGGAAAAGAAAAAGAATGAGTGTCAAAATTATTTCGTATTAAAATTATCTCGTATATAAATTAATTTATCTCAGGGTCAGTAGTTGAACAGTTTTTGTATAACAGCGACATCTATTATTGGTCTCAAGAACTATTATAAATTTTATCACACAATGCTTAGAAAGGAAACTAAACTTAAAAGTACATAATAATTAAAATCTAATTAAAATTGAAGTATTATTATACCTTTAAATTTCAGACTTTACCAGAGGAGGAGTACATATGTATTTATCTTCTTAAAAATTAGTAACTAGCAGTCAGCATTAGATAAATGAATTATCATCCTACCGTAAAGAATTGTTCAGTTTTTTACCGCGCCACCTATTGGAGGATCAGTATACGAAATTTCAAATTTGTTTTCAGAAGAATATTAAGATTAATAAAGAATAGAAACGAAATGTAAACTTCTATGCTAATTGATAGATGGCGTTTACAGCAAATTGTAAAATTCTAAATCGTTTTGGATTGATTTTTATTAAAACAAAGCAGTTGGATGTTTTAAATATAGAATACCAAGTATATAATAAAAATATAAATAATAATATAGTTAAATTAATCAGTTAAATAAAATAAAATGCGAATTAATTCGTAAAGTTATAATTATGTGGCCGCCTCGCGAAAATAGGAGAAAAAACTATTTTATAAAGATTGAACGGTCGGTATTTAAAGTTTATAGAACAGCGAAATTACTGGTATCTACTGGTGGTAGGATGTCTTGTGAGTCTGCACGGGTAGGTACCACTATCCCGCCTCTTTTTCTGCCGTGAAGCAGTAATGCGTTTCGGTTTGAAGGGCGGGGCAGCCGTTGTATTGTTAAAAGTGATATCTTAAAAATCATGTTTCAAGGTGGGTGCCGGCATTTATGTTGTAGATGTCTATAGGCTCCGGTTACCACTTAAGACCCGGTGGGCCATAAGTGGCCACTCGTCCACCCAAATATGCTATAAAAAAAAACTAGCCAACACCTGTCGCGAATCATTAAAACAATTTCCAAATTATCAAAAAAAAAATTGTATATTATATAACCATGATGAAACACAATATTTAATTATTACCAAATGTACTAATTTTATGTAAATGGTACCGATCACAAATCATCACTGCGTTATAAATATTAATAAGAATACAAAAAATGTCAATTAGTCTAACGTTATTAGTAACCCGGAACCTGTCGGCCTTGGTGACGGCAATAGGTTGAAATATTTAAAAAAATTAAAACTGAATATCTTCATCAAATGCTTACTGAATTGCTTAAAAAGTTGTAAGGAAAAAAAAAATTGTTGGTGCGACTTCAAACTTACCGAATTATTTTAACCAGTCTCCGTCTAATTACTAAAAATCAACCTTATGGTACTCAACGATACTTTATAAATTTATATTTATTGATTAACCAAAAAATATTAATGTAACTAAAGCATGTCAATGGTAATCAGTAAATAAATTATGTAAAAAGCATTTAAAAAAATATGGCCTCAATCTCAACACAAGCCTAGTGACTTGGTTAGTTTAGCAGATGTGTAATCTGTATTGCCTAAATATCAGAGATATTTTATTAACATTTTACGCGGCGACATTATCTCTTCTCGTGTTTCATATTTTAAGGTGACTCTGGGCTCGACGAGTAAATTAACTCTTAGACACAGCCCACTGAGTTTCTCGCCGGATCTTCTCAGTGGGTCGCGTTTCCGATCCGGTGGTAGATTCTGCGAAGCACAGCTTTTGCTAGGGTCCGTGTTAGCATCGTCATCAGGTTTGAGCCCCGTGAGCTCACCTACTAGTCACGGTTACGCTGAAATAGCCCCTAAGGCTATCAGTTTAGGTAGAAAAAAAAAAAAAGTGACTGTAATAGCCACTTAACACCAGCTGTGCTGCCAAACTCTTAAAAATTAAGTGCCAAAAATAAAACTGAATGTTGAGAAGTCTAAAAAACCTAAGTTTTGGGCCACATAATTTCACCGCGTACCATCAAGGCTAGGTTGTGAACCAATAAAAACTGTTCCCAAAAATAACGTTACCATGACATTAAGATACCTAGCATTAAATTTTACTCAATATCGATTTTAATTATTACATTTCGATCATTTAACAATCGACATTCCGTTTTATTATATTGTTCTTTGATTTCGCAAATCAATAAATATACGTCTTTAAATGGTAGATGTTTTGATAAAATACTTCAAGTAAAACAACTTTCTGTTTTTAATGATTAGTGAGGATACTCTGATTTATTATAGCAGATAGACCGTTATTTTTATTTCAAAGAGCAATATCAAAGCATATTCATATAAAAACTGAAAAAGAAAATTGACTGTCGTGCAGACGAGAAAATTTTACGAAGCTGTTTTGCCTTTTACTATTTGCATATTAATTGCAGTCTTAAAATTGAATACACATTAATGGGTATTCAAAATCTAATAAAGATGAGTAGACAAGGTCAAGGCTGACCTATTCGTAATCTTGCGGTGCCCATGGACGCCGCAATATAATCAAATACCTTCGTCCAACTTGAGCTGGATGTAACTTTCAGTTTCATTGGTTTTATCTTAGCGACACATGAACTTTTAAGAGATAATATGTATATGAGAGTGGCAGGAGTCATTATGCAAATTGTGGTCTCTTGTAACCGTACTACGTGCAACCTAATCTATACATCAGCCCGCTGAGTTTCTCGCTGGATCTTCTCAGCGGGTCGCGATTCTGATTCGGTAGTAGATGCATTCAAACCCTATTGTCGTGGCTGCCGCTAATTACTTATACGACCACGACGGGGCAACGCAAAAGCGCCGAATCCACTCTCGGTGCTTTTAGACCTCACAAGCACTGGTCACCGGTCTTGTAGAACTTGATGATTACGACGAAGAGTTCGACGAGCGAACTAACCCATAGACGCCACCCACTGAGTTTCTCGCTGGATCTTCTCAGTGGGTCGCGATTCGGGTCCGGCGGTAGATTTTGCGAAGCACTACTGTTGCTAGGACTCGTGTCAGCAAATTCTCTCAGGTTGAGCCCGTGAGTTCACCTACCCGTCCGGGAGTAGCTGGAATAGCCTCTTAGGCTTCCAGCGAATAGGTAGGAAAAAAAAGATGCATTCGCGATTGCTCTTGAGTTGTTAGGTCTTCTTTGGAGGCGCTCGGGTAGCTCTTAGCAAATACCACCCCTCTTGGGCAAACTTCACCCACCTGCCCTGGTGAAAATGAACAGGTCTCCGGGCCACCAGTAATCACTCATTCATAAAATAAAATAAAGTATGCAAATCGAGCTCTTTTTAGTACAAACTTCTTTTGCTAGAAGAAAGCCCGTTTTGTAACAGTTGACACCCCTAAGGCACTAAAGTCGCCCAGAGGGTGGTAGCGGACACCACTAATAAAATGACACGGCGTTGACAACCCTGTCCTGCTGAACACCTCTAGATTATTTGCGTTACATTATAAGCTAGGTTTTTTTTTTCGAGAAGCCACAAAACGTTTCTTAATTATATTTCACAAGGCAGATTTATGATCGTATTAAAAATGTTGATCTAATTCAACTCGCGGATCATCCTTTCTACTCTTCGTGTTGACCTTGTTCTAACGTTATAATGATCTATGTTAAAAATGTTAATTTTTTGTCTCACCGACTTAGAATTAGGGGTTCGAGTTCGATTGATGTTGCGAATTAACTCGTGCTGATTATTAGCCAGTCTCTGTATTTGTTAAAATTGTTTTACTGGTTGTAGGACGTCTTGTGAGTCCGCACGAGTAGGTGCCACCACCCTGCCTATTTCTGCCGTGAAGCAGTAATGCGTTTCGGTTTGAAGGGCAGGGCAGCTGTTGAAACTATACTAAGACCTTAGAACTCATATCTTAAGGTCGGTTGCGGCATTAACGTTGTAATTGTCTATGGGCTCCGGTAACCACCTAATGTCAGGTGGGCCGTGAGCTCGTCCACCCATAAATACAATAAATAAAAAAATTACAATATGCGGGCTTGTTTAATTGGGCTATGGCTGGGTATAATGTGTTTGTCTAAACAAAAATTAAACAAACATGATTTTTACAATTTTAATAACACGAATTAGTTCCTAGTTAAACATGTTTCTTATAGATACATATTTAAATTGACGGGATATTAGAGTATAAAGCGCAGGATATTGTTAATTGTGCGCTCAATAACGGAAAATAATAATTTGACACTTACTGTCGGCTAATTTAAAAATGCTTGGTATTTTTATTAGTAGATAGACTAGCTCACATGCATGCGTCTTTCATTGCAGTCCATAAAAATACAGTGAAGTCTAGCTGAAGATGAAAGTTAAATATTCCCGAGTGGAAGGAATAATTGTTTTCTTTTTGTTTTTTTCCCTACCTATTCACTGGTAGCCTAAGAAGCTATGCCCGGACGGGTAGGTATGCTCACAGCCTCAACCTGGGAGACTAGTACTAGCTAGCACTAGCCATAGCAAGTTCAGTGCTTCGCAGAATCTACCACCGGATCGGAATCGCGAGCCACTGAGAAGATCCGGCGAGAAACTCAGTGGGCAAATAATTGTCTTTTATCCCACATGTGATTATTTCGAGGCACATATCATGCGAACATGAAGACTGTAAAGCATTCGCAACTGGTGGTAGGACCTCTTGTGAGTCCGTACGGGTAGGTACCACCATCCCGCCTCTTTCTGCCGTGAAGCAGTAATGCGTTTCAGTTTGAAGGGTGGGGCAGCCGTTGTAACTATACTGAGACCTCTGCCATGAATCAGTAATGAGTTTCGGTTTGAAGGGTGGCGCAACCGTTGTAACTTTACCTTAGAACTTATATCTCAAGGTGGGTGGCGCAATTCAGTTGTAGATGTCTATGGGCTCCAGTAACTACTTAACACCAGGTGGGCTGTGAGCTCGTCCACCCATCTAAGCAATAAAAAAAAGAGCATCGGAAATAACGACTATAATAAACGCGACATTAAAGAAAAGGCACAAGTTAGTTACTCTCTCTACTCTTTTTTCCCTGATGAGAACAAACTCAGTTTTAGTGTTAACGTCTAATTCTTGTTTCTGTTTCTTGTTCGAAACAAACAAACTACTTGTACACATTTTGACACAACTATAGTTACTAGAGGTCCCGCAGTAGTCGAAATTCGACTATAATTGGAATTGTAAGTTTGTACACTATATGATTGTATTTTCAACGCCAAGACTACACTATAGAAAAATATTAATAAAGACAAACAATATTTAATCTATTCTCAATTTGACAACAGACGTCAAGAACAAAAGTTTGACAATAAATAGTATGCATGCGTGTGTGCGTCAAATACATGGTATGTAGTGTGTGTAATGTTTTCTTTATTGATTTAATGTATCGTTTATGCATTATTAAAAAAATATATTAGCATTGTGCACTTCTTCTCTATATTCTCTATAAGTGTGGAAAATTTCATACTCCTCCGTCCGCGCAATTTTCGTAAAAAGGGATACAAAGTTTTTGCTTCACATATTAATATATATATATTGCAAGATCTTATCGATACATCCATGACGTTCACTTTTAATGTCATAATGTGTTGTATTTCTGCAATAAAATCTATATTGAGGATATGAACAGTATTGAAAACCGCAAATCCATAAATTAGTGATAAAAATGTGTTAATTTAGCGTTTATTACGTTTAAAAAAAAAAAACACGTTTGACCCTGGGAATATTAGGCACCTCACACAACCGCAATATCTGTTAGTTCCTTTAGTTCTAAAGCAATAATTTCCATATCATTTGCTCGATTTGTGATTTTTAATATTACAGGTGCAATCTCTTTTGCACAATGTATTGTGTAAAGTATTTTTATTATCTTCGTCTAGAGGAAGTGAACGAGATGTAACGGTTTGCATCAGAAATGCAGATGCAATGTAATTACTCACAATAATGCATGCAATGATGCTCCGAATACCAAATTGAGGATGATTTTTAACGTATTTTGAAATTGTTATTGTGTCTGCGTGTTAGTTGTAGTGCAGTGGTATAGTGCCACTAATTACTTTAAAAAGTACTTTTTTTTATTGCTTAGGTGGGTGGACGTGCTCACAGCCTACCTGGTGTAAAGTGGTTACGTAGCCCATAGACATCTACAACGTAAATGCGCCACCCACCTTGAGATATAAGTTCTAAGGTCTCAGTATATGTAGTTACAACGACTACCTCACCCTTCAAACCGAAACGGATTACTGCTTCATGGCAGAAATAGGCGGGGCGGTTGTACCTATCCGCGCGGACTCACAAGAGGTCCTACCACCAGTAATTACGCAAATTATAATTATGTGGGTTTGATTTTTTTTACACGCTGTTATTCCTTCACCGTGGAAGTCAATCGTGAACATTTGTTGAGTACGTATTTCTTTAGAAAAATTGGTACCCGCCTGAGATTTGAACACCGGTGCATCGCTCAACACGAATGCACCGGACGTCTTATCCTTTAGGTCACGATGACTTCGATTATAAATAATTCGTTCAATATTTAGTTTACAGTCGATTGATCATCAAAAAGTCAATATAGTGAACCAAATTTATACGGTGTAAATTACATAAAATATTGTTTTCTATAACTTAAGGATTAAGAAAAATGTGTTGTGATATCACAATATTTTAATGCATCCTCAGGTTTGGAAAAACCAGTAAGTTCCTAATAAGAACTAGCCAAACGAACACAGCATCCCCATGGACCGTACACTGTCGTTGGCAAACTGTAAACTAATATTCTGAATCAAACCGCAGACTATAAGTAGAGAAAACATTACATGAAATAAAATAGAAAGTTTTAAAATTAACCATAACAATTGTAATTGTAACAGTTCGCTTAAGGAAATTGCCACAAACGAAACCGCAGTGCTGGACTATTTACATTAACACTTTATACTAAATTTTGTTAAACTTACTAAGTTAACTACAATGTATTTATATGAGCTTTTCCATTCTTCAGACTGACCGCTTGACTGCTTCGCGACTTTTCTTTTTACCTAAGCCTTGAGAGGCTATTTCAGCGTAACCTTAACTATTATAGTAGGTGAGCTCACGGGGCTCAAATCGGAGGTTTGCTAACACTGACCCTAGCAAGAGCAGTGCTTCGCAGAATCTACCACCAGATCGGAAACGCGACCCACTGAGAATGGGTTAATTCGCTCGTCGAGCCCTTCGTCGCAAGCGACGGGTTTGACTAGGACGGTGACCGGACTTCGCGACTTTAATATAATTATGTGTGTATGTATGGAATCCGGCTATGGAATGAGCTCCCCTCCACGGTGTTTCCCGAGCGCTATGACATGTCCTTCTTCAAACGAGGCTTGTGGAGAGTATTAAGCGGTAGGCAGCGGCTTGGCTCTGCCCCTGGCATTGCTGAAGTCCATGGGCGACGGTAACCACTCACCATCAAGTGGGCCGTATGCTCGTCTGCCTACAAGGCCAATAAAAAAAAAAATTATGTATGTGTGTATGGTTTGGTGCCATAATTATATTTCTGTCGCGAAGTCCGGTCACCGTCCTTAAGAATATACGGCATTAGGAATTTGAGAGCACTTGTCCACGAAGCTTCAGAAATTGTACAGCTGTAAAAATATTATTAAGACCAAGATAAGGCTTGTAGCTTTTAAACATCTCCTAAGTTTGGTGTAAATGATTTAAAAGTACAGTTATACTTAAAAGAGTGCAATTTTCGAACATAAGCATATTCTTAGCGTTCAAATAAAATTGAAGAACTAAAAACATAACTTATGTGGCTCGTTTATTATTTTTATGGGGTTCAAATAAATTTACTTCTATTACTTTTTATTTATTTAAAAAAAAACACATCCGAACATTATTATGGATGTATTAAACACTGCCTCGCCTGGGAAGACGGCAGGATACACTCCGGCGAGGTGGGCCACAATCGGACGGAGCGTTAGGGACTATTGGGAGAGAAACCGGCGAACTATGCGGGCATTGTCCAGCAAGACTGCCTTTTGCATTTGGGCCACCACCGACTTTTTGTTGAGACCAAGCCTCTCGAGAGGCTCGAGCCTCTTATTATTATTATTTTCATGTTTCCCCTTTCTCAGTTCAGTCTGTCGACAGAGCCGGTGGAACTGTATATACGGGCTTTTGGCCAAGTAATATACATTAGTTATGAGTTAATAATTATGCTAGTTTTTATTGCGTGTAGTAAGTTTAGTTTTCTTCAAGCTGCATGAACTTTTTCACTATTCTGCATGTATTTAGGATAGCTGCCTTTTGTAGTGAAATAAATATGTTATCTTTATTATTATTATTATTATGTTATTATTGTCTGTTATATTACTATTCTGTATGTATAGGAAAAAAGATTATGAAAATATCGCTCAATCAAAGAACATGATGGGTGATATTTTTCCGGACAGCACAATAAGTCAATCAAAGTAATTAGAGTTTCTTAAATATGTAGTAAAAATAAAATACTTCATCGTTTCGTAATTCAACCTATTTTCAATCGATCATTAAGTACTTAGTCCGATTGGGACATTCAAACACACAAGCGGTATCGTAATAGAGTTATTATTTTTGTATTAATTCTTTTACTTGTCGCAGACGAGCGTTTTGTAGCGGCCTAGTTTGGACAGCAAGCTCAGTTTGTATAAGAAAATCGTTGTGGGATCTAGCCAGCCTTCTTAAGCCACATCGGGGTAAAACCTACCCAGAAATTAGTGGTAGAGGGAAAAATGGAATGTCTTAACAGAGGCGAAAAGTATTAAAGCAGAAAAAATTGCTTTAGACGATAGTTTGAATGACGACAGAAACAGCGTTAGTTCAAAGCATATCAATATCGATTCGTATTCAAAAACCCGTGCAGATAGATCCTAACGTGCCGATTTCTGCTACAAAGCAGTCATGTGTTCCGGCTTGACGATTGAGACAGCTATTTTATAATACAATAGTCGTCGACTTCATGATGGATGGCGCCATCAACGCTGTAAATTTGTGGTATACTGTGACCACTGTGACCACTTATTTACTGGTGGTAGGACCTCTTGTGAGTCCGCACGGGTAGGTACCACCGCCCCGCCTATTTCTGCCGTGAAGCAGGAATGCGTTTCGGTTTGAAGGGTGGGGCAGCCGTTGTGACTATACTGAGACCTTAGAACTATATTTCAAGGTGTGTGGCGCATTTACGTTGTAGATGTCTATGGGCTCCAGTAACTATTAACACCAGGTGGGCTGTGAGCTCGTCCACACATGTAAGCAATAAAAAATAAAAATAAAAAAACTTAATATCGGATGAGTTGAGAGCTCGTTCACCTTGATTCATAATATAATTGACATTGTTGAACAATATATAAGTAGGCTGTAAAATTCGAGCATTAAGAAAAAGTTCAATATAAACTTTTTTTTTTTTTTTTTTATGATTGAAAGTTTACTGGTGGCCCGAAGGCCTTTCCAGTTTCACCAGGACAGGTGGGCGAGCAAAGGCTCAGCCAAGAGGGGTGGGATTTGCTAACAACTGCCCGAGCGCCTCCGAAGGAGACCTAACAACTCAAGAGCAATTGTTTCGCGAATGAATCTACTACCGGATCGGAATCNTCATTAGAATTGTGTTCACGAAAAACCTCTAAAAACAATTCTCAAAACGTAATCTTTCTAATTTGCGACTGATGGAGTCGGCAGATGCATCTTGACTAGATGGCGCCATGTGCAACGACTGCGCGCTGCGGTGCATCGATAGTTTCGAGCGTGCGCAGTCTAGCCATTTTTTAAATTAAGGTGTGGTCAAGACATGCGCGGTTCACCCTGCTGTGTCAGATAATCGCGAGAATATGATAAAAATTCTATTTAAATAATTACTTACTGGAACTGAGCACAATATCAGACGAGGACCGTGTCACTAGAATTTTATTCACGAAAAATATCAGAAAAAAGATCTTGAAAGAAAATCTTTCTAAATTGCGACTGATGGAGTCGGGAGATGCATGTTGACTAGATGGCGCCGTGTGCAACGACTGCACGTTGCGGTGCATCGATAGTTTGTTTAGAACATGCGCAGTCTACTCTTTTTTTAAAATTAAGGTGTGGTCTAGACATGCGCGATTCACCCCGCT